CCTGGCTTAGCTTTCTGGATCCAAAAACCTCCACCTTCCTACTCTCCTCACTCCTCCTTTGTACACAACGGCGGTAGTCCATGAGTCCCCTTTGTCATCAGCCTTAAGTTTCTCCTGTTGTCAGCACCGTTGACTTCCTTTTGTCCTACACCTGCTGGAGCTGGAAGAACATTCTGCGCAAGGGGAGAACATAGTGCCCTGCCTCTGTGTCCCTGAAGGAAGCATGAGAGGGTCCTTCAGTGAAACCATCCCTCATCCACATTCGCGGGTGGACATCTGAGTGTCTTTACCGCCTGTGCTAAGTGCTGGGTGTGCTTGGGGTTGAAGGGTCCCCTCTGGGCTCTGGGAGGGCCCTGGAGTTGGCGTCCCTCTGCTCAGTAATCCTCCCTCCTGGCTGGCAATGCAAAACCAGGTTTCCATGGCGAGGACATCAGGCTTAGAGGCAAGACCGTGGAGCAGGGGCCCTGTGCCACCTCACTGGGGCATGTCACATGCCACGTGCCACCACAGAGGACCAGGGGAAGAAAGGCAGTCTATCCCATGGCAGGACAATCAGCAGCTTGTGGTTACTGAGGTTCAATGGAGTGACGGCTGCATTATCTTGCCCTTGACCCAACCTCTTAAGGTGTGAATAGGAAGGAGCCTTAACCAGCTGGCGGAGCGTCGCAGTGAAAGATTTGGCAGCCTGGAAAGGACACAGCTGCTGTTTCCTTCCTGCTTTCCATCATTGTGGTTGACTGAGGGTCGATTGTGGTGTTTATTAAGCCCCTGCAGTTGGTCCACCTGAGGTCTTTGCTGGCTCTGAAATGCCATATGTCAGGGGTGCTGGGGCTCCGTGGCCGAGATGCTTGGCTGGCTTCTTGCTGTGTCACCGTTTTGTCAGGCGAGCTTGTCAAGTCACTGAACTCAGTTTCTTCATCTTAAAAATGAAGATGTCTGTTGGGCCGGTCTCCGGCACGTTTCTGAGCTGTTAGTTAATGCAGGTACTAGAACAGGGTGGAGGGCCCCTCAGAGGGGCTGACACTCTCGTTAAGTCTCCATGTTGGGAACAGGGCTTAGGCGGGAGACGGTGGAGTGGGCACAGTGTGGCTCACAGAAGGATGTGGAGCCTGAAGACGTTGGCACGTGTCCTAGGTCTGCCATGTTACTCGCCTGGGTGTGTCAGGCAGGTCCCAGCACTGTCTTGGAGGCTGAGTTTGCTCATGTGTGAAATGGGCATAATTCTTACCCTACTTATTTCAGAAGGAGCTGGTCCATAGGAAATGACATTGGCGAGGGCGACCTGAAGCATACTCGAGGGGCGCCCTCATTACCATGGTGCCTTCTTCTTGAGAAAGTACTTGAGTTGGGGTGGGGCCAACAAGCAGAGGCCTAGCTGGGGTGCCTGGGAAACTCTGCTTTCTTGGGGACCAAGGTGGAGTCCTGTGCCTCATCCTTCCCTCTGGTTTCATGCTTGTGTGTCTTGAAGCATTGAAGGGTCCTCCTTTCGCTCTTCCCAGTTTATCACACAGCTTTCCTCACGAAAGTCCTGCTGAACAGAGACGTGGACACGGCGTCCAATGCCTGGTGGGCTGTGAAGTGAGCCTGCGCTCATCCCAATGTGACTCGTGTCATGAAGTTAACGCATCGAATGAGTGGCGGTACTAGCTCTCGTCCGCAGTCAGTGCTGGACTGGCAATGATTTCAGTGCATTTTTAGGATCTAAAGGCTTTGAAAGAAGAGTTTGGAACCCATGATTTTTTTATTTGAAACCGAGAAAAGCAGTCCAGAGAGTTCTTTCCTTTTTTTTTTTTTGTGATAAAATTCCCTGGAGAGAGCAGGTCGTCCATCATCAAGCTCTGTGGCCATTCATTCCAAAACGTGATGTCCGAGGGCGCTCGGCTCTGAGGCATCTTGAAGAGCTTTGCCGATAGACTGAGAAGCAGGAGTTTCTTGAAATAAGAGTCTATTTATTCAGTGTTTTACAATTCTATTTGTTTTCATGCTTTCCTCTCTTTCTCATTTTTATTTAAGGGGCTGGAGTTTCTCCACCGGCCTCCTCCTAACATTGTTTCTAGCCAACTCAACACAGGAAGCCTTGAAAGAAACAGAAGAGGTCCCATGGGAGGGGAGCAGCTTTAAGCGGTGGGGAGGGTGAGGTGGGGCTGAGGGTGGGGGAGACGCGTGGACGGGAAGCATCTGCTGGATCTCCGTGGGCGCGCGGCGGCAGGAATGGCAGGTGTCCGGGTAGAGGCACTGGAGGTGAGCGGTGGCTCTGAAGGGCTTCAGTGCCATGCAGAACTAGCAGGAAGGTTCCCCACAGGAGGGGCTGGGGAAGAAGAGGGCAGCATCCAATCCGGGGACACCGGCAGGAGTCTCTGGACTTCGAGGAAGGCGTGAGTGGTCTGACTACAATAACCCCATTTTTCTGAAGTCGCTAACGGGGTAGAATGGAATGTTGGGGGCCGTCTTGTCCTTCCATGTTGAGGTGGCTATTGGGTAAAGGGCGAGAGTGAGGATTTTGAAGCCGGAGTGGGAGTAGAACTTGGCCTGGAAAAATAGTTTGGCTGGAATGGGGGTTGGGGCTGGGAATGGCAAGAACCTTTCATGGAAGACCCTTTTTCGGCTCTCTCTGTGCGAATGAAGACATGTTGCAGGTGAGAACACACAGGTGCACATGTCAGAGCAATACCATTAGCTGGACAGCACGTCAGCAAGCCAGGCGCACGCCCCAGTGAGTTGTAGGTACGTTGTAGCCATGATGGGAAGAACTGAGCTCATTGAGCTGTGGATGGATCCGTGGAGAACAAAGCTGGGATCCGTGACTTCCCAACGTCTGGGTCTGGTCTGCCAGGGCCCAGTTAGAAAATTAGAACTAAGTGTGGGCATTTGGCCACAGTGGTGGGGAAGGAAGTAACATTTGTGGGCACCTACTGTGTGCCAGGCTCTATGCTGGAGGCTTCCTTGGTTGATTGCTGGATTGCTTCCTTAGTTTCTCCATCATGGTATGAGCCCGTGCTGCGTCCTGGGCAGCGTCCCTGCCCTCGTTCCTCCTCTGTTCCTGGGGTGTGCATGGTTTCCAAGCAGTGGGAAGACCCTGCTATCCTGACACAGCTGGCGTGTGTGTCCAGGGAGTCTCTGCATTCGCAATGGAGTTCTGCACCATGGGGCACTGGGCAATTCATGCTGTGGGTGGCTTGGCTGCCCGCCAGCCTGGCTTCGCAGGTAACACTGAGAAGGTCACTGGGGCATCTTAAAATCAACAGCCATGGAGTTCATGGTAAGAAAAGGGATTGACTGAGAAAAAAGCTACCAAGGCCCTGTTGGGTAAGAAATGAGAGGAGGTCCGGGGTTGAGGGAGAGCTGGGCCAGGGGCTGGCACTGCAGCCTGAGTGAGCAGTTTTCGAACAATGGCTTACAGAGGGAAGCCTCAGAGGAGCTATTGAGCAAGGGCCTGCTGCTGGGAGCCTGCGAGGCTCCTGTCCCACCCTCCCTCGGAGCCGCTGAGCTGGAGCTCTTGGAGCAGCAGAGACCTGCCCTATGGGATGCACAGGCTTCGCAGGTGGTGCGCGGGGCGGGCGGCATGGCCTGGCCAGGTTGCTGCTGTCTCCAGGCTGCTGTTGCCCACCTCTCTGTTTTTTGATCTACTTTCTCAAGCTTATTAGACTCTGTCTGAGTGTTGGCCCGTGGAGCCGCCTGAACTCAGCAGCAGGGCCCGGAACAGGAGTTTGTTGTTGGTTTTGTTTTGTTTTTGAAATGTAAACACGTGGTTTGCATTCCAGGGCAGTGTGCACCAGAGGGCTGAGGGCTTGGCCAGTAGCTCAGTTCAGTCGATGCTTTCAGTTTTGGGGACAAAGAGACTAACCTGGCTGGCCTGTGGAGGGAAGTGCTGATGGTGGGTGGGACAGAGACCTGAGAGGACTTCCTGGCGGGATCTTCAGGGAACAGGCGGATGGAAGGCTGTGAAGACTCAGCATTGCTAACATCACCTTTCATGTCAGAGGAAACATGCAGTTCCAAACACCAAACCCTGGCAATGCTTGTTGGATCTTGGGCTTATTCCCTGAGTGACTGCCCTGTGCCTTGGGGAGTGAGGTTTGGGGTAAAGATAAACATGACCCTGGCTGTGCTGTGTAGAAGACCAGGGCCACAGCTCATTGTACCACAAGGAGGGCTGGGATGAGACCGGAAGAGAGGGGGACACCCAGCTAGGAGACTGTGGGGGAGGGGAAATGAGTTCCTACCAGCAGAGCCTGGTGTCAACGTTCACATCTTTGTCCCACTGGCTAGTCAGTCAGGCCCTGTCTGATCGACACTGGGGCTTGCTTCTCTGCTCTGGCCAAGGGATGTGCTTTTGAAAACCTTTGAGGAAAAGCATTGAGGGGCCGGGGCTTGCCAGCAGCCTGCTGAAAGAAGGATATTATCCTACAGGATCCCTTCTCAGAGACAGCAAAGCTTAAAACCCATTAGTGCAACAGGCCAATATCCTGTGGGACAGGATAAATGTCCCCATTTTATAGATGAAGAAACACAGGACCACAGTGGAAGTCCGCCATGAAGTCCTTTCCAGAATCAAGAATCTTGACTCACATTTGACTCCTTGAACAAATGCCGACCAGTCTCTAAACCTGTCATCTCTTTCATCAGCTGATCTGGGCTGGCGTGCCTGCACAGGCCCGAGTGGCAGCTGGCCTCCCCTGGGCTGGTCCACAGCGGGGAGCAGCATCCTGCAGAAGGTCCCTTTTCAGATTGAGAAACCCACATCCCGATCTCTTTTGATGATTTTACAAAAATCCAATTACATTTCAGATGCCCGGATAAGCAGGAGGAGTTTGCAATCTAAGCAAGTTCTGGGATAAAGCTGATTAGTCGACTTTTTCAATGATTGTTAGCTTGGTAATCACTCACCAGGAGTAGCTTCCAGGTAGACCGAACCCATGCCTAAGTGGGCCCACACCCATGAGCACCAACACCTAGCAGGTGAGTATAAAAGGGGACCCTGACATTCTCCCAACAGCCTTGACTCTCCTCACGAACCTTCCACTGTCCTCGCTGGGCAAAGGCATCATGAGCTGTCGGATTTCAAGCAGATCTCGAGGAAGAGGAGGAGGAGGAGGTGGAGGATTCCGGGGCTTCAGCAGCAGCTCAGCTGTGGGCTCTGGTGGGAGCCGGAGATCCACCAGCAGCTTCTCCTGCTTGAGCCGCCATGGCGGTGGCGGAAGGGGCGTCGGTGGAGGCGGCTTTGGCAGCCGGAGTCTTGTTGGCCTTGGCGGAACCAGGAGCATCTCCATTAGTGTGGCTGGAGGAGGCGGAAGCTTTGGCTCTGGTGGTGGATTTGGTGGCAGAGGAGGTGGCTTCGGAGGTGGCAGTGGCTTCGGAGGTGGCATTGGCTTTGGAGGTGGCAGTGGCTTCGGAGGTGGCATCGGCTTTGGAGGTGGCGGTTTTGGAGGCGGCGGCTTTGGTGGAGGCCGCTTTGGAGGTGGCAGCGGCTTTGGCGGTTTTGGGGGTCCCGGTGGCTTCGGGCCTGGTGGATTCCCTGGTGGTGGCATCCACGAAGTGTCCATCAACCAGAGCCTCCTGCAGCCTCTCAACGTGGGCGTGGACCCAGAGATCCAGAACGTGAAGGCCCAGGAGCGGGAGCAGATCAAAACTCTCAACAACAAGTTTGCCTCCTTCATTGACAAGGTGAGTCACGAGAAGCGGGCTCCGTCGGATGCTCACGGTGCCCTACTTCCAGCACTAAGTGAAAGGCAAACAACAGGGATTCGTTTCTTTTACGAGTCGGTGTGTTCCCAGTAGCCTGAACTATGGGCAATATCCAAGCAGGACAGGTGCTTGCTTTGTGGGCTGCCTCTTCCCAGACAGTCTGCAGTTAGGAATTATTTGTGCCTTTGGCTTTATTGTTTCAGGGTAATCAATAACATTTATGCAAAATTCTGAAAGTCTTAGAAACACTGATAGAGACAAGGGATGGAGTGCTGGGTCCAGGCCGCTTGATGGCGGGTCTTGGAAGGGGTTGGGAAGACATCTTCCGAGATAGTCCTTCCTTCCCTGGGAGTCATTACTCTATGAAATTCGGAGAAGCTGAGTCTGAAATATGCTCTTGGGGACGGATGAAGTCCCTCCCTTCAAGAGAAGCATTCTCAGTTTTGTGACCCATAAAGTCCCTGTTGGTGTCGCTCTGGGGTGTTAGAGGATTTTCTCCTATTTCAAGTGTGAGGAGCCTGTATAAGGAACTCACGAGGCTCTTATGAAGCAGACTGAGGCGCCCTGCCCTCCAGGGCCCTCACACTTGGTGCTTTTAGGAGCAGAGCCAATGGATGGCTGTGTTTGGTTTTCCCCAAAATTCCTGGGAGGTTTGCTGGGAATTCAACTCAAATGAGGGAGGGAAATGGCCTGGAGTCCAGGGAGCAGCTGCAAACAGAAAAGTGGGCAGTGAAGTAGGAAAAAGGGTTCTCTCCATGGATAGCGCCAGCTGTCACACAGGAATCTGGAGAAGCTCCCACGTGTGGAGGCAGGAAGCTCCGAAGCTCTGCCCGGCATGAGCTGGCATCCCCCTGGTGAGGACGAAGCTGGGCAGACTTCTCCACTTCCAGGAGCGGGACCAGAGCAGGCTCCGCGAGTGTGGCCAGCTGGCGGGAAGGGCGGCCCAGAACTCATGTGCGTCCCCTCTGTCACGGCAGGTGCGGTTCCTGGAGCAGCAGAACCAGGTGCTGCAGACCAAGTGGGAGCTGCTGCAGCAGGTCCATGTGGGCACCCGCACCTCCAACCTGGAGCCCATCTTCCAGGCGTTCATCGCCCAGCTGAAGAGACAGGTGGACACGCTCTGTGCAGAAAGAACGTCCCAGGACTCAGAGCTGAACAGCATGCAGGATCTCGTGGAGGATTTTAAGAAGAAGTAGGTGGCAGAGCAAATGCTGAGCGGGCTACATATTGATCTGAGCTACCAGACCTTTCCCTGGAAAGGTCCTCATCTTCCAAGTGCCTTTGTGCTCATAGAATCTGTGTCTCCATCCGTTCTTTGTGGGAAAGACATTTAGGGCTTCAGAGATCGTGTGTGTCGCCTGTTTGAGAGTTAATTTACAGAAAAGCATCCTCATTTGGAATATCATAGTTCCAATTTGCACAGGTGAATGGGGTATTTCAGGTGAATCCAGTTGGGAAAGTAGAAGATAGAAATAAGCAAACTGGGACTAACCTAAATGCTTTGTCCTCTGGGTCCCAACAGGTATGAGGATGAAATCAACAGGCGCACGGCTGCTGAGAATGATTTTGTGACGCTTAAAAAGGTGAGCAAGAGAAGGTGAGGGCTGGGGTGGGAGTGAGGGGGCTTCAGAAGCCCGGTGTGTCTGGACCCATGGGTGGAGAACAGCTCTGAGGGTGAACCGCAGTGTCCAGGAAAGCGGCGAGGCGCGGCCACGGCTGGTTCTCAGGGAAACAATGGCATCTCTGGAGCTCAAGCTTCTGGGGATGTTTTGTGAATTTGCTGGAACGTTTCCCACCAATAACTTACTTAAAGTCTGTATTGGACGCTGAAAGATGCAACACAGAAAGCACCTTATTCTTCTTCGAAAGAGCTGGGGAAGGACTGGGACTTTCCTTGGAATGCCTGCTTAAAGAGCCCGTCAGTCGTGCTGACAAAGGTTTGAGCTAGAAGGCAAAAGTGGGTTTTCAGCCCGAATCCTGCAGAAGCTTTGGTGTAAAACCCAGAGAAATTCAGGAGAGTTGGGGCGGACAGGCAGGGTGGGAGAGTGGAGGACTGTTAAACCCCCAGAGGCCATTGTGCCCCATAGTGGGAACACATAGTGTCTCAAGCAGGAGGGAGAGATTGTTGACAAAGCTTGGTCCCATCACAGGTCTTAGGGCAGTGAGCAGTGAACGTGGGCCTGGAGCCCCAAGCAGAGGTGCATTGTGGACTCTATGCCAAATGTGGTCCTGAGGGCAGGTGGGTCACCTGAGACACCTGGGCTGTTGGAGAGCAGCTGACAGGGACTGGGATGAGAGAGAGGCAGAGAGAGGGCAGGGCCCGGACACGGAATGGGCAAGGCGGCCTTGGGGCTGAGTTTCACCAGAGGCCCCTGACCTTTCCTGCAGGACGTGGACAATGCCTACAAGATCAAGGTGGATCTGCAGGCCAAGGTGGACGTGCTGACCCAGGAGCTTGAGTTCCTGCGAATCCTCTATGATGCGGTAAGGAGGCTGCTCCTGGTCGGACCCTTGCCTCCCACCCTTCCCATCAAAGGCAGGTCCTTCCCGATTGGTGAAAAAGAGGTAGCAGTGGGGTTTAAGGCTGTCTGGCTCCAACTTGTCATCCTTTCAGACCCCCAGGGGCCTTGGAAGAGAGGAACTTCTCCCCTGATGCTCATGAAACACCAAGACCACTTTCCCTCACTCTGTCCCCCAAGTGTCCAGCTCCTCTTGGGAAGAGACCCCGCCTGCTCCTGTCCCTATGTCCAATATACTTCCGGGTCAGAATGTAATATACCTCACCCTCCCCGCCCAGGTGCATGCACTTGACCTCTGAAACAGGAAGTATAATTTAAGACTTCTTCCTGGGGAGCGCTTACCAAAACTGCATAAATGGGGAAGGCTGTTAACTAGGAGGCTCAGAAATAGACTTCTCTCTCCTGTATTTCTCAGGCCAACCTTGGTGGAGGCCTAGGAATGGTGATTATGCTGCTTGAAATCTCACCCAGTGGGATTATGATGCTCTGTCTGAGAGTCTGTGCATCTCCCTGACCCCGGGGAGGGGAATGCCTCCTCGCTGCCTTTGGCTGTGGGCAGGGGCGCCATGGCCAGCCCTCCCATGTGTTGCAGGAGCTGTCCCAGATGCAACAGAGTATCAGCGACACATCCGTGGTCCTGTCCATGGACAACAGTCGGCACCTGGACCTGAACAGCATCATTGCCGAGGTCCGCGCCCAGTACGAGGAGATCGCCCAGAAGAGCAAGGCGGAGGCTGAGGCCCTGTACCAGAGCAAGGTGATGGGCTGAATGCCTGGCCAGCTTTCCCGAAGTGTCTTGTCTTTCTATCCTGTGTCTTCTCCTATTTGTGTGTGTGAGCCGTGGTGCGCACTGTCACATCTAATTGACTTGATCTTTAGTATGAAGAGCTCCAGATCACTGCTGGCAGCCATGGGGACAGTTTGAAAAGTACAAAGATGGAGATTTCTGAGCTGAATCGGGTGATCCAGAGACTTAGATCTGAAATTGACAGCGTCAAGAAGCAGGTACTTGCTTCCTCCTCCTGTTGTTCAGCTCTATGGAATGGGGGTGGGGCATCCTCAGGTAATTGCAGGACACTTTCTCAGTTTTGCATCTTGAGATCCATCCCAAGATTGTATTGTTGTGCCTAGTTCCTTTGGTGACTATGGTTATTCCCAGAATTCGGTCATTAGGCTGGGTTCTCTTTAGGGAAGCCTGGGAGAAAATGATCTAGTAGAGAAATAGATGTGATGGGCATGAGTGGTCCAGCCCATGATGCAAAGGGAGACTTCGGAGGCGGAGAGTGAGAGGACAGGCAGCCAGGAGGTTTCAGGGCAGGCGTTTAGAAAAGTGTCAAGTCTGTAAGGGGTGGAGGAGCCTCAACTAGGGCCAAGAGAGGCTGCTGCGTCACCTTTAGGGGCTTCTAAGGAAGTCAACACAATTGAGGTGAGAAGGCCAAGGTGAAGTTGGGTCACTGAGTGTGTAATGTGCTGGCGCCTCTCCTCTCAGATCGCTGCGCTGCAGCAGTCCATCAGCGAAGCTGAGCAGCGTGGGGAGAACGCCCTCAAAGACGCCCAGAACAAGCTGAACGAGCTGGAGGCCGCCCTGCAGAGGGCCAAGGAGGACCTGGCCCGGCTGCTGCGTGACTACCAGGAGCTGATGAGCACCAAGCTGGCCCTGGATGTGGAGATTGCCACCTACAGGACCCTCCTGGAAGGAGAGGAGGGCAGGTGCGGAAGGGACCCCGGGGAGTTTGGCCACTTCTTCAGGGCATCCTCCCTTGTGAGCTGACTGCGACTGAGGAAGCAGCCATGTGCCTGCGGCTGGTCCTGAGGATCGGGAGGGGAAGGTCCATGGCGCAGGAGGAAAGACTTGGTTTCACAGTGGGAGCCGGGGTCCCCACTTTTGTTTTCTGAGGACTGTAGCGTCTGTGTGAAGCTCTTTGAGATGGAGTGATTTCTTCCTCATCTGGGCTGGCTCAGCTGTCATCCAGGCCAATGTGAAGGCCTCTAGAGGTGGCCTGCATTAGCAGCAAGAGTCTTGTCTTGTTTATATGGAGATTCCCTGTTTGTAGTCACACTGAGAACAATGACAGAGGTCGGGACACCCTAGGAGACAGGGTTAGGATTCAGAGGAAGTGGATTAGTGGAGCCCCAGATGGGGACAGGCCTGGACATGTCTGAGAGGGCCTGGGGAGTGGTTTGAGAAGCTGGAGAGTCAGGAGAGCTCTGCATTCCTTTCTCTTACAGGATGTCTGGAGAGTGCGCCCCGAACGTGAGCGTGTGTAAGTACTAGCGGATCTCAGGGGCCTGTGCAGGTGTGCTGGGTGGGCCGGGGAGCTGGGGTGCAGATCACTGAGTGTTCCCTTGCAGCTGTGAGCACCAGCCACACGAGCATCAGTGGAGGAGGAGTCCGAGGAGGCGGCGGTTTCAGCTCTGGCGGCGGAGGGAGCTACATGTCCGGAGGGGGCAGTTACAGCTCTGGAGGTGGTGGTGGTGGCTTCGGCTCCGGAGGCAGCAGTAGGGGCCACAGAGGCGGCTCTGGAGGCGGCAGCGGCAGCTATGGCGTCAGGATTTCTGGTGGCGGCGGCTCTGGAGGCAGCTTCAGCTCGTCAGGAGGCCGGGGAGTCAGCTCTGGGGGCAGCAAGTCCTCTGGTGGCAGTTCCAGCGTGAAATTTGTTTCCAGCAGCTACTCCCAAGGGAGCAGATAAAGAGGTGCTGTCTTTCCTGTTAGCTCTCCCTCCCATCACTACCTTAATGCTTGGCGAGGTCGAGGTCAACTGCCACAGCCTTAGTGGAGAGCTGAGCTATGGTCAGTTCCACTGGTTCCTCCCAGCTCCCCCGCTCTCTCCTTTCTCCTCTGCTTCCCAAAGAAGGTTTCAGATCAGAGGCAATCCCAGTCCCCGGCTATGACCCTGCCTTGTGCTTTGCCTGCGAGACAGCTCAGCCATCCCACGACACACATTCCATTTCAAAGCATCTCCTTCAGTCAGCCAGAGCCGGGCTGGTGAGACCCACAGCTTCTTGCTGCGTGGAGACACGCTCTGGACAGCTCGTTGGGGTCCCGTGTCTTGCAGCAAGCTCTGTGCTGCTTTGGTTTTGTATAGAAGGTGTAAGCAAGTTGATTGTCTCTTGTGAAGAGGTCTTAACTCCCCTTTTCCTCGTGTTGCTGCAATAAACTGCATTTGAAATTCTCCACGAGTCTCAATCTCCTTTGTTCATGGTGCTGTCCACCCTGGACGAGCGCTTTGTGGGCAGGACAGAAGGCCCTAGAGCCCCATGGCGTATGGGGAAGTTGGGACGATGGGACATGTTGGGAGGCTGGTCAGGCAACATCTGAGCTTAAACATTTAACATTTAATGAGCAGAAGCTCTTTCCCAGAGGGTGGAGGTGTCAAGGAGAAATGGAGAGTTTGGGGTACTCGTGGGAGAACGCTCTGGTGGAAAGGCCACTGAGCAAGCAGGTTGGAAGAGAGAGTCTGACACTGAGAGGAGGGGACAGTATTGCATGCTGAAGTCTGCCCATGTGGAACAGCCTATGAAGAGAGGGATGTGGGTCAGGCAGTACCGGCAGCTGCCACAGCCAGAATACAGACTTTGGCCTGGGGAGTTCAAGAACCAAGAGTGCTACTGGAGAGCTGGCTATCCATTTCCCCTCTCCTTCAGGCCACTCCCCAAAACGCTGCTTAATCTAAGAAGTTCATTTGCCCACATGTGGCCTGTACTCGTGGAGAAGTACAATGGGACAGCATAGTGATCAGAAGCATTGGACTCAGATACGCCTGGGCTTGGACCTTACCACCATCATTTACCAGCTCTGTGACAATGTGTCAGTTAAGGACCTCTCTGCACCTCGGTTTTATTTTCTCTCAATAATGGGGATAACAATGCCTTCCTCGTAGGAATTATGGCAAGGACTGAATGAGAGGATGAATGAACATCGCTTAGCAAGTAGTAAGCACTCAGTGAGGGCCAATTTTAGTGATAATGGTGGCGATGATGATGAGGACCTGGCTATTATGACTTTGCTTGTTGGCCTGCAGACAGCAGATGCTTGCTTTAAGGACCAAATGAACATCAGATTCCCAGTGGTTTTATGGCCGTGAAAAACTCAGTTCACTTCTCTGAAGTTCTAGATTTCTTAGCTTTCACTGAGAGAAGTCTTCGTAGCTGCAGTGGCAATCAGATCTCAGGGAAATAAAGAGGGTGTAAATCAACAGGGGTATCGCGTCCATACAAAATGGGGAGCTCTCTCTCTCTCTCTCCAGTCACTCTCACCAGAGCTGCCTCCTTATGAACCGATGCGAAAGTCTGGACAGCATTATGGTGGACAGAAAGAAGACAGAACGTTGGTTCAGAGAACTGTCTGGTATGCAAGATGTAAGCAAAAATAAAAAAAAAATGCACAGTTTCCTGGATGTGTGGACCATTGGACAAGTCACTTGACCATTTGGAGCGTCTGGTGTAGGTGAAACGAGGGTGAGAATATTTGCCTCTAGACAGCAGGACAATAAAATATATATGATGTGAAAATGCCTTGTGAACTGTGAATGTGTCATACACAAGTAGTTAAATGAGGTTAAAAGGGAGTGACAAAGAAGTAGAGGAAGGTGGCCGGCTGTCAGGGTCGCCCACGAGGGAAGTACCTCACACGGTCACTGTGGCACCCTGACAACTCTGAACTGACATAAAATTGATTTTGTTAAGGCATCCAAGTTACATCTGCTCTTGAGGACTGCTATGTGTGCACCACGCACTCAAGCCACGGATGTGTGACCCAGAAGGTCCATGTATTAGTTTGTGGGGGAACCTACATTTTCAGTGACTGAAATACCAGAGCCCCCATCCTGTTGTCAAGATACCTGGGAAACTGACTTAGTCCTAGAAGGCGGCGTGGTGCTCGTGGATTTAGAACAATGGGAGTGGGGTGGCCTTGAGGGTGATGCTGTACTCTCCTCTGAGGGAGAGCAGACGTCTGGGGCCACCATATGGCAGCAGGGACACCACTGAATGAATGAACTGGTGAGAATATTCTAGTACTCTGGTACACACTTTCTAAATTCTCTCTTGGGTTAAAATTTCCTGTAGTCACATTTTAGTATTGGTAATACCCTTGCTCGTCTTGCTTGGGCTGGGTTTTCTTGGTTTGGCCAGACACGAAACGGAGACCACGACAATTTATAGTGAAACTTACCAAACTTGTGATGTCACAGGACTGAATGGAAACATTGTGTAAGTCAGTATATAATGAAGAATTAAATTGAGTAAGATCAAGTACTCAATGTTTTAGTACTAGAAAGACATCAAAGGAAAAATCTGGAGTACATTCAGTTCAACAAACAGCTCCTACAGACACACTATGTGTCAGGGACAAGGATGAACATTGGGGACATTATGATGAATAAGACACGGTTCTTGATGTCAAAGAGTTTGAAGACTTGGTGATGGTGAGTATGCAAACGTGTCGTTACATGCACATGACCCGTGCAATGATAGAAACACATACAAGGGATAGACATGGTGCACACAGAAGTGAGGGCCATTAAAAGTGTTGTCTGGCAGGGTTTCAGTAAATAAATAGGAGTTTGTCAGGCAGATGAGGACATTTAAGGCAGTTAAGGACACTCCAGGCAGAAGGAATAACCTGGGTAAAGACATGGAAGAGTAAAATTACATGAAGTAATTGATCGTCTGCAGCAGCATCAAGTTAGTGACAAGAAATGAGAGTGAAGAGTCAGTCAGATTGAGTCAAGAAGAACCTCGTGGGCATTCAACGGAGTCTGGCCTCAAGTTTGTGGGTCAGAAGTTCTCAGCTGTGGTTTTGGGACCTATTGGCTTGTTACAACCTACTCGGTACTGGGGCAGTGGGAGAGAAAGGGGCTGCCTCACTGCCAGGGGAAGAAGAATGGAGCATGAGACAGAGTCTGTTCTGTGCTTTATCCTCTAAGCTATCCGGTCTGCCCGTGCGAGATCTTCTCAAGGAAATGCCATTTTTTCAGGTATTTTATGGCTGAAACAGTTGTGATAGTTGAGGAGGAGCCAGTAAAGGGCTTTAAATCAGAGAGTGACGTGGTCAGATCCGTGTTTTCGAGGCAGCACTAGGCCAGATTGGAGGGCCCGTCCTGGAGGCAGGAAGACATCTCAGGGGATCATTGCACAGGTGCGGGCCAAAGGCCATCATGTCTCTCCCATCAGTTCAAGTCTTTAGAGGTGGCCGATTGGCCAGAAACGAGGATGAGGCTCTGCGTTCCCGAGCCAGTTAGGAGTCAACTCATCAGACTTGGTGATGGATTGGATGCGGGTCGTGAGGGGCCGGGCTGAGGCAAAGGGAACAGTTGAGGGTGTTTCCATGTTCCTGGCCTGGGTAATAACAAAGAACACAGCAAGAGGGCTAGTGGGGAGAAAGAACGAGTTAGTTCTTCTGAGGTGCCTCTACTCCACGCATCTAAAACTGGAGCCAGAGGAGTAAACTGCAGAGCCATCAGCGTCTGAAAGTTAGAGTAAACCATCAGCTCACCCAAGGGGAAGAAGGGGCAGAGGGAGAACTGCAGAGAACTCCTGGCAGGAAAGCCAGAAATATGTGGGGGAAATGTGCTCAAATGGAGAAAAAGTAAAGGCCACGAGACCAGTCATAATTCTTCAGGGCTGTCCAGCCAAGATACTGAGCTCACCGAGATCTAGTGATGACCTCTCAAATCTTAGACTCCAATAGCTCGTCCTTGGGTGTGTCCAGTGTGGGTGTGATGCTTGGTGCTTATCTAAGTAATAATGTTCATAAGGAGGGAAATCCACAAGTACAAGTGTACAATGAAGGTTCTCCTGTCCTCCCCCACCGAGGTCCCTTTGTTTGCAGCAGCCATACTTTCTCGAGTGTCCTTCTGAACGTTATCTAAGCACACGCAAGCAAAAATCTACGTATATCTTTATTCTCCTTTCTTAGATGTCCTGCCACTCTGGCCTTCCTCCTGCCCCCTCCAGCTGACTTGATTGTCTCCACTGCTGTGCCACAGTCTATGGTCCAATTGCAGCATTTTGGCCTTTCCCTGAAGACGTCTGCACAGACCTCCTCTCCTGGGGTCTAGATCCATGTGTCTTGCTCCTAGCGTCTCAGCACAAAGACAGAATCCTTCTCCCTGCCCGTTGGCTGACTGAGCCCTGTGGCTCCCCTGGGGCCATTTCTTCCTTGAATGACATAATGTTGCAGCCGTCAGTTCAGGGGCCAGTCTTCCTTCCATAACCGGCCAATATCTATATAATTGTGTCTCTTGCGCAGCCACCTCTCTAACAGAGTTCAGAGATTCATCTAACTCTAGGGAAGAACGGACCAGCCACCGTCTCCTCTCCCTACACACAAACTGCCTCCTTTCCCACAGTTCCAGGCCTAAGACAACCATCTAGTGCCCCTGAGAAAACAGCGGACTCCAGCAACTCTTCCTGCACCCATGGCCTGTCGGATCCTAGTTCATTTGGCTCAAGCCTGCCGTCCCCACTCTGTCCCTTGGGGGAGGCTCTTCACTAGACTCGGGGGCTGTTGACTAGCCCTTGGGAGAAAGAATTCCAAAAGATGATCTTGAACCAGAGCCAATGGTTTGATGGAATTTGGGAACCATGACCCCCAGGACAGTCTTCACTGGAGGTGGGTCCTTCTATGGGTCCCTTGGAGGGACTATGAGGAAGTCTCACACAGCGGCCCTGTTCCATCAACAATGTGGTGTGGAAATTGTAACAGGGACCTTATGGACATTGATAAGAGTTTATTTTGAAAGAGAATATTCTTCCTTTAGGTCAGTTCTTCTAAAGGGATCAGTCTCATTGGCCTCTGTTTTATAACCAAAATTAAGTAGCATCCTTTTACCGTCAAGAATAGAAAAACAGAGATGGTGTGCCTTGCAGTCACACATAATTAAAACCAATCAGCACACAGCCTTCACTGCAATTAGCAGGAGACACAAGAGGGAGAAAACTGGGAGTGATACCACACACCTTTCACTTGTACATTCTCAGGCAGGGCTGTATTAGAAAATCTTCTGACACATCAGATGTTTGCCCTGCTGTGCAGAACGACCACGTGTTCATAGGCTCCAGATGCAGGCTGATGCGGGTATGCTGTGTTGGCAGCCTACATACCATGAGCATGTCTGCCACGGACAAGAAAACTTTCCCAAAAGGCGAAGACTCGACCTTCTCCCGATTTAC